CAAGACACAAGTAATGCACTAATCTAATTTCTAAAATCAGTCTTCACAAATATTTTATAACATCGGAACTACTTAGTTAATATGTATTGCTTAGGCCTACTGTACATCAATGTGATTAACAGGGACAGAAATGCTACAAACCGATGGACTGTAATAGCATATTCAACGATCCATTTAAAATGTAATACTATTAAAATAAGTGGCACTGCACAGATGCAATTAGAGCTTCTGGAACTCATATATTAAACCACTGTGGCACAAACTGTTGTTGGGAAGAGTGCTTATTTCCATTATCAGACTTAACTGACAGTTATGTCCGTTTAATTGGGCATATCAGGATTTTGTTTGTTTTATTCCTAATGTTTAAAATGCAGAGATGGCCGTAGCCGACACTATCTATACATCTGATTCTATTTTTTCCACTTCTGTTGTTCCTCATTAAGAAAATATGAGTATGAGTGTTTCAATGCAACAGTAAACATGACAGCACTAATTAAACCAATTAACAATTTGAATTGTTCGTGCATGTATCTTGCAGTGAAAGACGGGAACAACTCACGCTTGATTTCTTTTATTTCTTTTTCACATATTTCCAGTGATAAGCCATTTCACATAGTCATCCTCTATCACAGCGTCTCCTACACTGAAACCAGGGAAGGACCTGTGAGGGTGGCTTGGAGACAGACAGGGGTTGTTGGAAATCGTCACAGAGCAGAGCAATCATGCATGGCCTTCCAGCGTCGGTCTGTCCTGCTGCTTTTTCCTCATTTTCTCCATTCAACCGGGTCGTTTCAGCACTCGTATGCCACAGTTTTAAACATATTTGTGGGAAGCACAGCGGACTTTATTATTTTTTTCCATCCATAGCTTGCTTCTTAAAAATCTGACAGGCTGGATTGAGATACTGAATGAATTATTTTTGAAGTGCAGCCATAATTTGAGCTGCAGCACATTAATATCTTTTTTTTTTGGTCAGTTAGCGGAAGAAAAAAAAATCTCTTCCTGTTTTAGAAACACAGTTTATAGAACTGAGTCCTTCACCCAGCACAGTTTGTTATCCTGCATGGACTCGCACAGAGGCACAAGCAAGGATCTGAGTAAAATGTTAAAAATACAATCTTAAGTCACCCTTTACTGTTTTATTTTTAGCGTCCAAGGAGTTGGACTCTGTTGGATTTTTAAAGCGGTCTTGAGCAATAGTTCCTCAGGCTTTTTAATGGTATTTCGAAGTTTTTCTTTGGACATCAGTTGCTTTTTCACTTATTTTCAGTCCAGGCTTTGTACCTGACCATTTTCAGAGGAATGTTTTTTTGTTAACACTGACCTATGAACTATTAAATCATTAAAAAGGCACCCAAATCACAGGAGGAACCAGTGTCTACACATAACCTTTGAGTTTCATCTACAGTTTGAAAGGCACCAAGATGATTTTTGGAGAACTATTAGCTGAAAACTTGGCATATCTTGGCACGGTGCGCAGTATGTCTTTAAAACTAAGAGGAAACTAGGCAAGGCAAGGCAAATTTATTTGTATAGCACAATTCAACAACAAGGTGATTCAAAGTGCTAGATAAGTTCAGATGAGAAGTATCTAAATGTCATGCCCTTAGGTAAAGAGAAAAAAAGAGAGAAAAGAAACCCCAGCAAAGACCAGACACAGGTCCAGGCTGACAGATGCATCTGGCCCTGCAGTTGATTCTACCGTTCACTGACACTTCATCAGAAATGATCGGTGGCAGGATGGCTGTCAAAAGTCATTTTTAAGGAAGGGAAGCAGTGAGAAAAGACTGAAGTATGACAAATTAAACAAACATGAACTGAAAATGTCCACAGGTTCAAATCGCCATCAGTATGCATGGAGGTCAGGAGAGAAGTACAGCATTAAGAGTGCATTTCAGTCAGATGTGATAAATCTTGTCAAAACTGATCAAAAGTACCATAAAAATACTGTCAGATTTTGACCCATTATCTACCAATACCATCTGGAAAGCATCTCATTAGTAATAATTTCATTTTTCAGTATGACAATGATCTCAAACACACCATCGGTGCAGTAAAAGAATACCAAGATATAATAAAATCGATCAGATTGTCCTCAAGCCCTGCACTGCAACATTTTTGAACAGTGTTGGGGAGTAACGGAATACATGTACCGCCGTTACGTATTTAAAATACAAAATATGAGTAACTGTATTCCGTTACAGTTAC